TCACCAAACTGCTGGTAGTGTTTTATTTCACATTCTAGAGATTTCCAGGAAACTTCTCAAAAATGTACTTTCATGCGTATGTGTCTAGTGTTGTATTTTCTCTGGTTTAATGGCATTTCCCTTGGAGCCTACCACCAGTGACTTATCTTCAACATAGGATTTAGCCACAAGTATTTCTATTTTCTTTACTTCTAGAGCAACTGAGACTTTCTCAGCAAAAGAAATCACCTCCTAGGATTCTTAATTCTACTGGTACGAAGACAATGGTAGCTCTTGGATGTGTGAACACAAGAGTCTTTTGAGGAGAGTGAGATGCTACGCAGATCTCATGTGAGAAAGTTGGTGCATATTTCCAAAAAATGTATATGTAAGTGGGCTGCTGAGGACAGATGGCCATCAAGTTCACTCAGCTGAATACTTCGGTAATTATTCTAATATTTTCCCAGGAGTTGCTTCTTTTTGGGAGTTATGCATAGAAGGTTAGGCATTAGAGCAGAAGATGTAAGTTTGTTTATTTTATTAATTTATTTGCTTTCTGTGTCTAGTCTATTTAAAGTAAAGTGATGATTTCTAGCTCAATCGTTTTTTCTTTAAACAAGATTATTTCATTCTTTAGGGCTGTTCAATACTCCATTGTCTATATATGCCACATTATCATTATCCACTCATCTACTGATGGACCCTAAGTTGATTGTATGTCCTGGATATTCTGATCAGCATGATGGAATCTCATCACAGCTTGCATTTTCTTGATGACTAATGATATTGAGCATATTTTTCATAAACTTAGTGGTTCTCTCTCTCTCTCTCTCTCTCTCTCTCTCTCTCTCTCTCCCTGTCTCTCTCTCTCCCCAAGAGACCTTGCTATGTACACTAAGATGACCTTGAACTTGCTGTAACCCTCCTGTTTTTGTCTCCTAAACACTTACACCACTATTTATTTTGTTGTTGTTTTATTGTTTGAGAATTTCTTATGTGAATTATATGTATTCACTTCCTACCAGTTATTCCTCTAGTCCTCCACCAACTTTCCCTCTTGGTCTCATGTGCTTATTTATTAAAGCCACCAAGTCCACCTGGTACTGCCAGTATGTACATGAATGTAGCACCATCCGCCAGAGCGTGGGTACCCTCTCAGAGGCCACATCCCTGAATGAAAACAACCCCCTCTTCTCTAGCAGTCATCAATTACTAATAGCTCTTCAGCTAAAATAGGAATTCATGAGCCATTCCTCCATTCATGCAGGGATTTGAGCTGGCTTGATACTCTACAGGTCTTATGCATTTAGTCACAGTCTCTGTGACTTGGTTCTCTGCTTCCACTGTATGGGTTCTGGAAAGTTAACTCAGGTGGGCAGGTTTGGCATCAAGCATCTCTACCCACTGAGCAATCTCGCTGTCAGTCCTTATGTGTAAATTTTAAAATAAGCTTATTCATATACAGAGATAACCTTGCTGAATTGATAGAAATTTCATTGGACCTGGGGACCAATTTAGGTGTTCTTTGATTTATTCCATTTTACAATTTCAACCACAGATCCTGGTGAGATTTTAGATACAAATAAATTTGTTTAGTGGTAATTGATGACATCACATCTTTAATTTGAGTCCTTGTGTGTTCATTGCTACTATATAGATATACTTTTGGAGGGTCACTTTGTACTCTTTGACCCTACTGAACACAGTCGTTATTTCTAGGAGTGCTTTTGTGGACCCCCTTTGGACCTTCTTCAAAGACCTCCATATTATGTGTAAATTTTAAAGAATATTCCTTTTCCTTCCTTCCTTTTTTTTTTTGGTTTTTTGGGTTTTTTGTTTTTGTTTTTGCTTTTTGAGATAGGGTTTCTCTGTATTGTTTTGGAGGCTGTCCTGGAACTCTCTCTGTAGACCAAGCTGGCCTGGAACTCACAGAGACCCACTTGCCTCTGCCACCCAAGTGTGGGATTAAAGGTGTGTGCCACCAGTGCCTGGCTCTTTCTTTTTTGATTAATTCATTTTTTAGATTCCAATCCCAGTTCCCCCTCCCTCCTCTCCTCACACTCCCCTCCTCTACCTCGGAGAGGGTAAGGCCTCCTTCCCTAGGTCTACTAAGTCTGTTCCATCATCTCGTTGAGGCAGGACCAAGGCACCTCTCCACTCACACACCACTGTGTATAGGCTGAGCAAGGTATCTCTCCATATAGAATGGGCTCCACTAAGTCAGTTTGTGCATTAGTGTTAGGTCTTGGACCCAATATTAGTGGCCTCATATATTGTCCCAGTTGCACCATTGTCACCTGTATTAAGGGAGTCTAGTTTGGTCTTATGCAGGTTCCCCATTTGCCAGACCTGAGGTAGTAATCTCTCACAAGCTCTGGTCAGCTGTTTCTGTGGGTTCCCGCATGGTCTTGACTCCTTTGTTCATATTATCACTCCTCCCTCACTTCATTTGTACTACAGGAGCATGGCCCATTGGTAGTTGTGGATTTCTGCATCTATTTCCATGTGTTTCTGGAAGAGGGTTCTAGCTTCTCTGGGGTTGTGGTTTTCTTTCTTTCTTAATAACAGGCTTGACTGCAGGTGTTAGAAGTTTCAGCGATGTTGTGAATAAGAATGGTGAGTGGCTGATGCTTGTAACCTCAGCACTGTAGAGACCAAGGCAAGAGGATTGCTATGAGTTCAAACCAACCCAAGTTGCTTTTATTCATCTGTAGTTGTCTGAATAGAACCTAAGGCCTAGGCAAGAGCTCTACCACTGAGCTACACCCCCAGCCTTAATTATTATTGTTTTCAAAAGAAAGGTCAGAAAGGGAGGCTAAACATCCTGACAATGAATACAGGAGACAAAGAACTTCTCAGGCATGAGGTGACATGCTTCTTATTTTTCTTGAGAACACATGCAAGGAAATAACCAGAGTAAGGGATCCAGTTTAATTTGAAAGACTAACAGAAGTTGGTTGTGGGGCTGAGCATGTAGTTCAGTTGTTAGCAAGAATCTAGTATACATAAAGTCCTGAGTTCGAGCCCCAGCACCACATAAAAAAGAAGTAAATGTGTGCCCTTGTAATCCAAATGCTTGCAGGGGTAGAGAGGCAGGAGACTCAGAAGTTCAAGGTCATTCTCAGCTACATAGGAGCTGCAGACCAGTCTGGGCTACATGATATCTTACCTAGAAAAACAAAGTCAATTTTGGGAAAACGAAAGGCAAGGAATATAAACAGGAGTAGGATACATATGAGCGTAATCAATGTAGATCTGAAAAACAAGACCACATAGACCTAATTGTGGTGGTTTGGAAAGAATGGTCCCAATTGGCTCATATATTTGAAGGTTTAGTCATCAGAGAGTGACACTATTTGAAAAGGGGGAGGGCAGTGGTTCACAAACTTCCTAAGTGTTTCTCATGTTGTGGTAACCCTCTGACCCTAACATTAGTTTTGTTGCTACTTCATAGTGTAATTCTGCTACTGTTATGAATTGTAATGTAAATATCTGTGTTTCCCAATGGTCTTAGGAGACCCCTGTGAGAGGGTTATTTGATCCCCCAAGGGGTTGAGACTCCCAGTTTGAGAACTGCTGGATTAGGAGATGTGGCCTTGTTGGAGGAAGTGTATTACAGGGGTGGATGTGGAGGTATCGAAAGTTCATACCAGGCCCAGTGTCTCTCTCTGTCTGACTACAGATCAGGATGTAAACCTCAACTCCTCCTCCAGCACCATATCTGCCATGCCTACTGCCAAGCACCCCAGCTTGATGGTAATGAACTAAACCTCTAAAACTGCACACAAGCTCCCAATTAAATGCTTTCTTTATAAGCGTCGCCTTGGTCGTGGTGTTTGTTCACAGCAATAGAGCAGAAACTAAGACACCAACCTATCCAAACAATGCAAAGAATGCATTGGCCTGCATGTGTTGTATATGTGAGGGTGACACCAGTTTTGTTTCCATGTCCTGAGGACTCCATTTTAGATAAAATTTAATGTTTACTATTAAATTATCACATCACTTTGTTGTCACCAAATTGCAACACTCATTTGACTTCAATCTTTAACTGCTTTCTTGTCTGAAGCTCTGCCCCTCCCAGCAGTTTACTGAACTTCCTTGTCTTTAAATTTAAACCACAGGCACAGAAAGTTCACACTCAGAAGTTTTCCAAAGAGTTCTTTCATGAATTAAGAAGAAAATGTAAGTCAAATTCTTTAGTGACAGAAGCTGAGCAGACTTCCCTTCTACCGCTCCTATCATGTTTTATATAGCACTGATTGGATCTAGCTTCATGGACAGCCCTTAACTGCTTAAGCCATTCAGTGGAATCCCAGCCCTCCATGACTCAAGTTGTTTCAGTTAGAATGAAGCCTGGATCTTTTGTTTTATAATCAGGAAAAGTTTCCCCTTCGTGATGAGTCAAATGATGAATACAGACGATGACCAGGGCTGTGGGAGTCAGTTTACCAGTGTAGGGGAGGGCAGCTTGGGAGAAAACACAGAGCCTCACTTAGAACAGGAATCATAAGTATCATCAAACCATGCTGAAGCCACAGCTACCAGCTACTTCCAATCCTGATGTTACTATAATCCATGTCTACCTTAAGGCAGGGAGTGAGAGTTGCTGTTACTCCCACTGCCATACAATTTGCTGGGTTTCCTTTGTTTTGAAGTCAGTAGGAGACAGTATGCAATTTACCTCTTTGCAACATTTCATTTAGAGAAACAAGGCTCTTGAAGAACATTTACCACACTACAAAGACCTTTGTCTATCTTTGCAGCCTTTATGGATTCTAATGAACGTCACAATCACAAGTGGTGAAATAATACATCTAAGGACTGTTCCTTCCATGGTTTCAATCCTGATGCATTTAGATGGCAGTGATGTGGGCTCTTTATTAATTAATGTGTCCTGCAGTTTTTGAACATTTAAATCCTTCTGCTTGTGTGCCTGGGCCTGTACATGGACACTAGACAAAAGGCCAGCTTTGTCCTCTCTTTCTCTATGTTTCTGGTATCCTATTGCATGTGTGTACCTTTTCGATGAAACTGAAGAGACCCCAGCAGACAAATGGATTTCAGCATCTCCGTTGTATACATCTCTAGGCAACACTGAAGCTGGATGTAAAGCCGGCAGATTTCGGGATGGATCTCACCATCTTCCGGGCTGCAGCAGAATGAGAGAGCAAAGCTGTGGACAGTCTCAGGATTCAGTCATCAGCCATTTGTCTCAGCTCTGAGAGGAGAAAGGGCTCAATAAATATTCCTTAAAGCCTGGAGTCTGAAATACAGGGTTTCCTGCTTGCAAGCCAGTAACCACCCTGATGGTTCTTACATAAGTGTCCTTCCGAGTAACTGCTCTCACCCTCCCCTCCTTGGCAGCGGTTTCTGCTGGGAGCTTAGAATCATAAACGCTTGAAGTAATTGAGAATATCAGACATTTTCAATTTAGCCGTAGGAAGAAATTTTCAAAATACACTTAAAGCATAATAATCTCCTAGCTACAAAGAGATCGAAAACCCCTGTTTCTCTAGACAGACTAACACAGTCTATTCAATTAACATTTAGAAGACATCTCTAATATCAGGACTTCAGTCTAATATGATTAGAGAGCCAATTTTCAAATTATTTTTTATCAAGGTTTTTATCTTAATCTAAGATATGTTTTCTTATTATTTGCTATGCTTAATTTATGAAAACCCAAGTGTTTTTAATGATAAAATAAATATTTTATTATGAGAGAAGTAACAAGTTAAAATAGCTATGCTTGGCAATCTAAATCTACACAGATACTGAATTTATGTTTGAAATGATAACCTAAAGTCCTGGAGGCTTTCTTTATAAAATTCGTATGTGAATATGATAAACCATGAAGTGATCAGTTTTGGATTTTGAGGGAGAACATTCATTTTTTGATAAAATAATACTATTCCACATGCAACCAGAATAGCATGTATTGAATGATGTAAACTAAAGGGATAAGTTTACAGATTGATTTGAGGTTAAAGAAAGCCTGAAGGTAAATTCTGTTGAATATCCTAATGAGTTATCTTTATTTCTTCCCTAAATCATTTAAAATGGAATGAAATCTGACTAAATACTATAGAATTTAGATTCAGTTTCTTTGTAAAGTGGGTCAGTGGCAAATTTCAGAGGTATGTAATCAGATTTTTTTTTTTAAAAAAAACTCTCACTTTGTTTTTAAGTTCTGGAATCACAGTTAAAAAAATAACACAACAACAATAGCAACATCAAAAAACCATGTACCAAGATCTTGATAGTGAAAATGAGTTTTCATTTTCAGTACTTAGTTCGCTGATGAAAAAGTTTGTCTAACCATATGGCTTATATAACTCAGAAAAAACCGCAAAATTCTCAGCCTCCACACCACAACGCCTGCACAATTATCCTGGGTCTTTTGGGGTCAGACAGAACAAAGTGCATCCCAGAACTGCTGTGTGAAATTTGGCTTTATCTGGAAGCTAACACATTGCTTTACTTCCATTTCATTTGCCTCACATGGAGCCAGCCTTAGACCAGTGTCTGAAGCAAGAGAAATCTCCCATGAAAACCTCAAGCATCTTCCACCTTCAAGTTGCTAGAAGCTTCCCCCACACCATATGACCCCACTATATCTAAACACACACCACACACACACACACACATACATACACACACACACACACACACACACACACACACACACACACTTTCTATCACCTTTAGTCTTTAGAAATTTCTGATTGTGTTCCATTTCTTAACAGTGCTGCTAGACTCTGAAGGAATACTGCAATTAACAGTTCCCCAAATAAAAGAAAAAAAAAAAAAAACGTGATCCTGGTATATTATCTGTTAATACATTGCTTTCCATAGAAAAATCTGAAGGCAATGTCATATTCCAAATGCAAGGTGGAAGGAAAACACTCAAAGGCAAATGGATTTTTTTTTGTGTGTGTGCTGTTTAACCGTCTTAATCACCGTCCCTATTTTCATTAATTATACATAGGTCCTGGTGCCTCATATGCGGATTAAATAAAATCAGGAGAGGAAACAAACATGATAGTAAATCTGTCACATGTTCTGCACTTCTCAGTGAGACAGCTGATCAACACAGTGTCATTCCAAGACACAGGATCTTCTTATATTTAAAGGGGAAATATATATATATATATATATATATATATATATATATATATGTGTGG